TCTTAAAATATTTGCGCGACACCCGTTATATAAGTTTTTCTCATAGAATTTATCTACCTGTATTATATCTACTTACTATGTGTCTAAAGGTAAAAAAAAATGAAATAAAAGGTAAACGCACGATAGCAATTCATATGTATAGAGGAACGCGGGGGAAATTAAAAGCGAGAACGAGGAAAGGAGGATTAATGAGAATGGCCGAAAACTGGTTAACAATGAATTCAAGCATTATGCAACGTGATCCGTAAATTCGCTTGTGCTTCGTAAACAATCGAAGTGGCCGCGACTGATATCGTCCGAAGATAAGGACACGCGGTATATGAAGTAGGTTCCCAGATTCTATCGTATGTATTATATATACGTACCTAAAAAAGGTAACCAGTGGCTCCTCCGAGCCGGAGATTCGACAGTCCGCAAGATAAAAGAGAAGGTGAGCATGCAAATAGCTTTTTAGACACTTCGGCGCTACCGTCTATATCGTGAACCCGATACTCGACATCTTGACCCCATTGACCCCCGAACCAGCATCCAAAAGCAAAATTCTCTTAAAAATAAGAAAATTAAAAATTAACGTATACGCATACCTGTGTACGTGTGTACCTATAATAAATTATACGTATGAAGAGTCTCGGGGATGGAGGAGAGTGAGAGAGAATGAGAGAGAGAGAGAGAGAGAGAGTAAAGTGAAAAAAAAATTATTAATAATTATTGAGAAAACACGGAAATCGATTTCGTGATTTCTAAGGTACTTTTTCACGAATTTTAATACTGAAGGATATTCATTCGTAGTCTTTTAAGGGCTACGCTATTATTATTATAATACATACCTTAAGAACATTATATATATAAATATATATATATATATATTATTATTATTAACGTAAAAGTTATTCGAGACGTAGACGTTTTAGAGGTAATTTTCTACGAGAAATTTTGCGCATTATATGTGATCCCCATTTGTTCCCTATAAACATGTTGAAAACCTTAATGACATTGATTGTTAAGGTGTTCGTTGTAGTACTCGCTGGTATTTAACATCCCTCCATGCAATATGTATATATATTGCGAAATTAACAAAAAGCGGCGCCGTGCAGCGTCACATTATTTGTTAAAAAAGGGAAATCATCGCGAAATCAGAACGAACGCTCGGGAGGAAATTCTTGGTGAATATTTATCTGGATTTCAGATCATTTCGATTTATCTGCGTTATCAGATAACGAAGCTCGGTGGTAGGATAAGATAATTATCAAAACAAAATTCACTATCGAGCGTTTCCTGTCTCGCGATATCGTTACCGAGCCGTGTGCACTCTAATCTAAAAAAAAAATCTTGGAAAAAAAAGAAAATGAAGAAGAAAATCATTAGCCAGTCTCGTAGCTGAGACGGAGATATATCGGTATCATCGTTCATCGTCACGCGCGATCATGAAATCGTCATTGCGAAAAAAATTGAAAGCTGTCAAAAGTCATTCATGCGAAAATCACGTAGAGAGGAAATAGATGGAGTTAAACTGAATTTCGAAAAAAAAATTTTATTTCCACTCGATAAATCGATGACGCGATGAAATTTTATTTCCACTCGATAAATACTGACAAATTACACATTAGTCGGGTTTACGTATGGATGTACTGGAACTACTTCATGGTTGAGGTGTGGCTTGTTGTACGGAAATGAAAATCAATTGAGAGACCATTAAGCGCCAATTATCATCCATAGAGATCATCGTATCGTTACGTCACTGCGATGGGCATTGAAGCAGCGGGCGATATCGATTCGCTTCGATTACTCGTACGTGGACGCAGGGCCTCCTAGATGATTTACTAAGAGTTTTAACAAAAAGGAAGTTTAATACGAAAGATCCATTTCTTATCAATGACCGTTATCGTTATCGCTCGCTGATTTCACGTGCCTGCGCGCGCATTCGTCATCAAATGAATTTCGATATTAATCTGTAATTAAATAAAAAAAACGTAGAGACAAGCACTGTCGATGCACAGAGGTATAAATAAGGTAAAATGGAATCGTCGACACGGAGATACAGTGGAGAATGGGACAGCAAGAGAAAAATGAGAAGGAGAAATATATATATATTTCAGAAAAAACATTGAATAACAATAATCGTGAGATCCGATGCGAGCCAGTGATTATGAGGGGAAAAAATAAGAGTGTGAAATACAAGTAATTTCAAGCACGTGGAATATACAATAAATGCTATTTTTTAAATACAATTACCGATTGACCTCCTTGTCGAATTCGATGTTATTGTAATAACGTTTTAATAAGATTTCCAATTATTACCAGTATTCGTACGGTGTTGTGTGACGTCGCCATGTTTAAAGCGCGACCGATTTACTGCGATGTTTTTTCTCTAAGATAGCGTTAGTCAACATCCATCTTGTTGCGTTATACGAAATCGAAATGAAAAATAAGGAAAAAAAAATACATAAAACAAAACAGTAAGAAATAATGCACGACAAATGCAGAGAGCGAGAATCTATTGATTGTGAATTGAATAATTGATAGAAAGGAAACGAAGGGATTCGGTACGCGTTTGACAGGCCTGGGTGGTGCGTGGGTATGAAATATGGACAAGAGTTTGACTAGTGCTCTGTGAGAGAGTAATGGCCGCGGGTTCGTGCTACTGTTACCGTGAGGGAAAAAAAAATTATTACAACAAATTAATACTGTTGATTCGATGTCGATGTTATACCTACTACCCTACTGCAATCTCTCTTTACGATTAATGTGTGACGTTAATAACGTTTGATAACAGTGTTTAGCGTAGTGCTTCGATTAAATGTTAAAAGCGACGTGGTGGGCCGAGTGCGCATGCGCGGCTCGGCGCAGACGACTTTTAATCGAGACTCTCAAACGGCGCAGCTACACCTCGTACATGATCTTAAAAAATAATTAATGACTATAGAGTAAACGGAGTGAGAAAGATGGAAAGACGTAGAAACAAAGTTCGACCCTCCATAATAAGCAGGAAAAAAGCAAGACAAAGAGATGCCGGTTCGGTGATAAAAATGATGAACGAGCTATTGACCAGTCGGGTATGATGAAGTGTATGGCAATGGGATATAGGAAATGTAGTGAAGAGCGATTGAGTGTGATACGAGTATTTTTTTCTTTTTTAATCGAGCCCACGTGTTGCAGGAAGTTCAAGTGAAGTGAAATGTTTTACCGAACGTTTACGTAGAAAATGAAGGCAAAAGTATATACACGCATTGCAACCAGTCCGATCGGATTTGTAAATTTATATATTTGAATTTGCAAAAATTCTTTACGAAATTTTTTTCATTCTATCAGTGCAGATCTTCCTGCAAGGAATTGAAGTGAGTTCGTATACATTTGTTACAATAAAAGGTTCGTGTATGTGCTTACGTAACGGAGAGTTAAAGGGGATCTGCTGGAACCTCTGGAGTAGGAAAAAGAAAATATTAGAAGAAAAGGTTAGAAGTGGCAGAGGGCCAGGTCTTCGTGGAATGATCAAACTGTAATTAATTAACGTTTATTATTAGCCTAGGTAGACCGATTTTTCAAGAATAGATACGGAGAGTGGCCCCCACGGTGTTACTCAATTTTAATTAATATAGAAGTCGAACGATAGAATTTCTGAAGGAAAAAAAAATGAAGTACCCTACCAAGCCAAGGAATTATCCCTTGACACCCTCCACAGGATAATTAACCGTCGATAAGGGTAACTTCTTGTTATACCAAAAAAAAAATACATCTCTAGCTAGTACGTTGTTTCCGAAAAGGGCGGTCAACTCAAAGAGGAATGTAAAGGCGCTTCTGCGACTATGATTTATCGTTAGCTCTTATCTGTTTTTTCACCCCTATTCCGTTCCGTAATTTATTACGGAGGGTTAGACAAAAATTTTTGTCTCAAAAAAATGAAACAAACAGTAAGGGATGGACGAAAACAAGTGAGGGAAACAAAAATATGCTAAATTTCAGTATTTTTTGTTATTTCACGTTAGGATAAAGAGCGAATGAAAAAATGGTGAGGAAAAATTATATTTAAAAAAAAATAATAAGAGAACGTTAAGGAGAAAATGAAATCAATCGAGATTAGCCCCTTCCGCATATCATCAAGTCGCAGAAGAAAACTGCGATGCGTGTTTATTAAACAGCGAGATTTGGCCTAAAAAACTATGTGTCATCAATGTGTTATGTACTTACCTTATGTCGCCAATGAACATATATGTATAATCTGGCACAGTATTTATATATATAAAGGGTATATATATATATATTATATACGTTATATATTCACATATGCGTATGGGGGATACCTTAACCTAATGACACAATACCTTGCAGTACACGAGGGATGGCCGGTGGCTTAAATTTTTAGGTCACCCGGTACCATACATCACGTAACGATATAATTAACAAAGATATTGAGAAAAAATGGAAAGCGCGCGCGCGCATCGTTCGCCACGTGCATGTGCAGAATATTCACGTTGAGGGATGCTGGCGCGACGCATTGAGATGAAACACCTAAAAACACGTACATAATACGATATTATTATTATTGAAATATATATATATATTATATATATATATAATTACACATTTTGATTGTAAGACGTAGCGCGGGGCCGTGCAACGGTTCACTTTATATTTATATACTTAGTGAGAAACGGAAATTTTCCATCCCGTTAAAATATTGATAAAACCTTGAAAATGAAAAATAAAAATTATGACATATATATATATGTGTATAATAGTCTATAATTTTTCATATTGTTGTACGAATTTTTAAGTTTATATTAAAATGTTTTGTGCATTCATAAAGAAAAAAAAGAAAGTGAGAAAAGAAAAGAGAAACAGAAGAAAAAAAAATAATCGTCTCGTGATGCATTTTCTTTCCTTACCAACTTCACTGTGTGTTCCGAAATTCCTCAGATCCTGGGTAGGCGATTCTTACGGTTTTATTTATTCTTCGTAAAACGAGAGGAGAAAGTACGGGAAAAAGAAGACTGGAGAATAAGTGTTGTGTAATATTACCTTTTTTTTTTATTACTACCCTTAGAATGGTACACCTTACTGTTATATGCTTTAGTATCATCTTAAAAGTAGAAACTATGATCTAACTCAATTACTCAAATTTACGAGTATTCAAAGTGTAATTAGCAGGTACTCGGTACCAGACACTTTGCAGTGTTAATCCGTGAATAGTCTTAGAATTGTAGCAATAAGGTAAAAAGCAGAAATAAAAGAAAAGAGAAATAAAAAAAAGAAAATATAACATTGGTCAATTAGACAGGCTCGTCTTATACTTTTCATATTTACATCTATGAGAGCCTCTTTTTTTTTTAAACTGATATTCTATGCGCAAATATATATAATGTAATATAGGATAAGTAAATGAAGCGCGAACACAAGAGTGAAGGGTTCACGCGAGAACAAGATTCAGTCGTCTGTTGATGAGTCCCACGTGTGTTCATATGCAGTCATGAAATTTGAAATAATGAATTTTGAGGGATCTCAAATTTGGATATTTGATATTGCAAGTAGGACAGATAGTACCGTTTGCGCCGTTCACCACGTAAGTGTCCAAGTTCAGCAGGGAAAAGAATTTATCCTGCTTATCGAAGTCGCCGCCGCACCTGTGCTTCCCAATCAGATGATCCACCACGTCAGGTTTGTTATCAAAATGCTTCTCGCACAGTTTACAGAAGACAACGAGGCCGCCATGCACCTTCTTCTTCGTTTTGGACACAGTAGCGTTTGAAGGGTCGCAGCAGTGAGCCGTGCAACCACTGTGCTCAGACTTGTGAATCAGGGTGAAGTGTTGCTTCAGTCTTGGCAACGTTGGAAATTCCTTGGGACAAAGGTTACAGCCGACGCGACCGCTTCGCTGGAGGATCGGTATGAACTCGACTTTAGGTTGCTTCGACTGTCTATTGTAGCGGATGTTGTGAGCGGTCTGCTTGTGCTTGAGGAGCGTGCTCATGCCGGGGAAGACCTTTTTGCAGAGTATGCACGTGACGGGTTTCCTGGCGCCACTGTTGTCGAGTGAATCGATTTCCGGTGAATCGTCCAATTCGATTTTTGGATTCCTCAGATCTTCGTGCTCCATATTGACCGACGTCCTCTTGGCACGGGCTGACTGGGACGATTTCTGTGTACTCGACTCGGACCCGTGACAGACCTTATGCCTCTGTAGACCCATGTAGGTATCGAAGACCTTGCGACATACTGGGCACTGGTACATGGCAGCCATTTGCTTCCTTGCTAGAGACTGAAGCTTCAAGGATACCACTGCCGTCGCCTTGTGAAGCTTCTTGTGTCGCGCCAGACTCTTCTTCAGGGTGTAATACTTGCCGCAAACGTCACACTGAAAATTCTTGCGTTTCTGCGCACTCGAAATTGGATTCTCCTTGTGCCACTTCATGTGCTTTTGCAAGCTGTCGTTGTCCGGGAACACACTGGTGCAGAGTTGACAATGCAGCTCCTTGTTCACGTGACTCTTCTCGTCTTTGCTGTCCGCGTGGTGAACATCCTGAAGATGCACCTTGAGGCGATTAATCTCCCTGAAATTTTCATGACAAACGTAACACTGAAATTGATGCACCTGCCTAGTAGTTGGCACACTTGGCAAGGACTTTCTGGCTTTGGCCGGCTTCAAGGAGTCCACGGGGATGGCTTCGATCTTCACCCTCTTAGCGTCATCTGGAAACTTGTCAGCGTTCAAACGACAATTGGCCCTTGCGTGCCAGCCTTTATGAATCCGCAAGGATGTCTCCTCGATAAATTTCTTACCACAAATGTCGCACTGTAACCTCGTACCCAGTTTGTTCTCGTGAACGTTCAGGACGTGCAGCGCGAGGTTCGCATGCAGGGCGAAGATCTTGGTGCACCTGATGCACTGATAAGACGGCCTTGAAGACTTGTGCTCAGCCTTGGCATGCTGCTCGTAAATGGTTTTATCGCTGAAGACCTTCAAACAATCAGGACACTTGAAGACCTCGTTCGGCGTGTGCGCGTTCCTGATATGCCGTCGCAGGTTCGCCAGGTTGGAGAAACTCTTGATGCAACTGTCACAGTTGAACCTGATGCCACTGGAATTTGTACTGTGGCCTGCACCGTGTTCACCGTTCCCAGGAGTTCTGTACTCCACGCAGGAACTGTTTGCTTTCCTCTCTCTGGGATCCTCAATCCCATGCTCCTTCATATGTATCTCCAGAGCACCTGCACTACTGAACATACTCCTGCAGATGACGCACGAGTAGATCTTCACTTTCAGATGCACATTCTTGTGCTTCGTTAGCTCAGACCTGCTTCCAAAATCCATGTCGCACATTCCACAATTATACTTTTTATCATTGATCCTCGACACGCGGGTCTCTTTGTTATCCAGGATCACGTCTTCTCCGTTCTCCGTTTCCACGTACCTCTCATTCTTTGACGTGACCTTCGTATGGCTCTCATGATGAGACAGGTAATCACGAGGCGATCGAAATTTCCCATAGCATTTTGAGCAAACGAATTCCCTCTTCTTGTGCTTCACTTTAGTGTGAGAGTGAAACTTCTTGAACACCCTGAAGGTCATGCCGCAATGGACGCACTTATACACAGTACGAGCATCCGGCGGAAGTCTTTTACATATATCACGGTGCTTCAGCATGTTTGGCTTGTATCGATATATCATCCCACAGAAGTTGCACTCGTGATTGAACGCAGGGTCGCCATTTTTATAAGGATGCGGCATGGTAGCGTAGATATGATCGGCGGATACGGTATTCGTCTCCTCAGTTGTCAGTAAGGATATGGGTTTCAGTTTTGGAGGAACGCTCATTGACGTCGTTAATTTTGCGTACTGCTTGTCAGAATGTTTGGACAAATGACTTAGCAGTTCTTTGCGATTGTTCAATGGCCGCAGGCACATGTTACACGTGAAAAGCTTCTCGATGCCCATTGTGGGCACGACAAGAGCTATCTTCATGGCACACTCGACAGACGCACCACAATGAGACTGGTAAGTGGACCTATCGGGAAATTCAGTTAGGCATGCCACACAAGTGTAAGGTCGTAGGTCAGGCATGTGTTCTCGAATATGATACAATGTACTGCGACGGTCCGGAAATGAAAGCTGACAAGAGTAACACGAAAATGTCTTCAATTGGCTGATTATGCTTTGCTGAACTTGCGAAAGGGAAGAGTTCTGATCCATCATGTCTATTTCCTCCTCCACGTCCTCGATCATCTCTTCAACTTCTCCTGATACGTCCGTTATAGTTTTTGTCTTTTGAGATGGTAACGCCTTCACTTTTTTTTCTACCGCTTCTGCGTTCTGACTTTCTTGAACATTATCTGCGTCCGAATGAAATTTTGCCATGTGTTTCGCGTACGTGAATTTTGAATGTAGATGGATCTGACAGAAAGAACATTTCTGTTTGAACACTCGGTGTCCTCTGTAATGTGTATGCGGACCGCGTCTTACTTTTCTTTTGACAGTGACTGCCGCTGTCGTTGATTTCTGGGTTGAATCGGCTTCCATTACCATGTCTGGTTTATTTTTATTAATGGCTAAAGGATTGAGAAGCAACTCTCCACCTGGCACTGGCGCCACCTCGACATTGGTATCATTTTCATGATTTGATAATGGTTCTTTCTTAATCGCTTTTAACGGAATCTGTTCCTTATGAACTGGTTCTTTGGAGGAGCTACCCAAAACTTCTGCATTTACCATATCTTTTAACAACTCGGTACACTTTGACCCTCCATTGACATCTTCACTCGTTTTCTCCTCAGAATGTTCCTGATCGTTGGTGCAAGATATTCGTGAGTAGTTAGAATCCTGAACATAGGAAAACAGAAATGCAGTCAATATTACAATACAGTCATCTTCGTATGTGAGGATCTACTAACTGTTTCACTGAGTTCACTGAATTGAACCGAGCTATTATCTTCCCAAGGGTCATAGTTCCATTTCTCAGGCTCTTCTTTTACAGCATTTCCCTAGTTACAAACAAAACATTGATCCATTAGGCTGTTGAATATTACAACAGCTAGCTGTAACAATTAAAATCTTACCAATAGTTCTGAAGAAGTCTGTCTCGCCAACCACTCCTGCAGTTTATCCTGGGACCGTAGACAGGATTCTTTGTAAGCATGCCACTGGTTGACCTTCGTCACACACTCTGTACATATTGTGGTAGAGAGCTTGTCGCCTTGAGAAATCTATGGCACGTGATTGTAAAAATACATTAAATAATAACGTAGTAACGCAATATAACCAGGACGCTAGTGCTTTACAAATTTGACATTATTTATATCCAACAGTTCTACTTATAACCCTACTACGGGGTATAGTAGGTCACAGTCTATTAAAATATCCAAAGGACCAGGCACAATTGCACAAAGTATATCACAATGAGTAACAAACCTCGATCGAGAGGCATGCCTCTATTTTAGTAGCAAGCGAAACAGAAGAGTCTTCCCCACGAAATACAGAGGACTTTGGCTGATCAACAGAGAGACATAATCTGCACAAATCCTCGACATTCCGCAATTGCTCCATCTCCTCCATCCTAACAGTGTTTCGCCACCTTCCCGGATGCTTTTCTCTACGTTACTACCCTATGCAAGTGTACGCATTTCACCGATAGGTTAGGGACGCAACGTTTTGTTTGGTAGTCGACATTTGAACTTCTAATCGAGCGGTTCTATTCGGTATGTTCCTCTTATTCACTTCGTAGTTTCCGAGATGAGAGGGAGATTGCCAAGGAGCCGATTTTCATAGTATAAGTTTTATTTCGGCATCGACGCGCCACCTGTGTGGAGGGCCGTCAAACCAGTCCACGTATTTGATTGGTCAAGTATATATAGTAATACTACGCTTGATTTTCGTGAGCTCCGTGAGACGCATGGAATTATACCGGGTGGCACTCTGAAGCATGTGCATCTGAAGTCGACGCGTCCTTTGGACGAAGGAACCTCGAACCAGCTTCATGTTTGTGATCGGTAGAAAGTACATTCTAAGCAAATCCCAAACGCGGGTAATAACATAAATATGAGTTTTTTGAATTTCATACTCTGATGAGTGAACAGCAGACATGCATAGTGTTTCGGCTAGCACGCAGAGTCTCGAGTTCGAGACACGCGGTTATTACTTTGTTTTATATTGATTCGCTCACTATGCGTATTGCTTTTCTTAATTATCTGAGGATTTAATGAATACATGATTATACTATACTATATATTCTTTATTATATTACAAGCTTTCCAAATGTTACTAAATATTATTAGACCTTGAGTTACTATCGAAATTGATTCAAAACAACAAATTGAGGCTAAATAGTGTAGATAAAAATTGAATAGAAATTGTAGAATATCGAAAATAAATTACGTTCAAATTGAAATATTAATAAATTAGGTGTTTGGAAGATTAAAATAATTAATTAAATTAACAAAGTAAAATATTAACACTTAGAAGTCGGAAATTCTGGCCAAGCATACTTAGAAATACTGGAAGTTACCCAAAATTGTGTGCGCGCAACTTCGTCGCGCAGGACTCGGCGAGTGGGGGAAGGTGGGGGAAGCGACGAAGGCAGCGCCCGGACTCGGAGCGCTCATTCTTCCTCGAGCCGGTCTCCTATACTGGTCTCTTGGAAATACCCCTCATATTCCTTTGCAACTTTCTTCTTCTTCGTCTTATATATTTATTTCTTCATTAATTCCATATTTCTTTATCTTTCATTCTTCACTTTCTTATATATCTCTTTCCTCATTTCTTCTCCACTTTTATAACTCTATTCCTTACTTTTATACTTCTTCACCTCTTTGTTACTATATTCATTTCTTTATTATTTTCACTTATTTAATTTCTTTCTTATTATCTTATTCGCACTTCTTTATTTCTATATCCATTTCCAACCTTCTTTGCTTTCTATATTTATTTCTTCATTAATTCCTTATTTCTTTATCTTTCATTCTTCACTTTTTTATTTCTATCTTCATTTCTTTTCTCTCGTTTCGCTTTGTTCCCTCTCACTTTCCATTGTATTTGTCGTACTTTTCCTATTCCTTTGGTCGGGTCGAGCATATTAATTCAAGTAGTCATATAAGAGTAGTCATCCGGTTAGTGCAGCTAGACTTAAGACCATGGTGTCGGGGGTTGCCCTTCCGCCTCTTCCGCTGAGCTTGCTCAGTGGTTGGTGGCCCAAGTTGTGGCCGCAACAGGACCTTATGGGTCTCCCGACGGGGGCCTTGAGCCCCCTTAGGGTATCTACGGCCATGGTCTTTCGTATAGTGAATCTAGCCAGGTGTCTAGCTCTCGCGTATTTAGTATAATTTGTTCGCTTTGCTAAAAACGCTCCAACATGTCTTGACCCTTGGGCACTTGTGTGGGTAGAGACGATCCTATTTGTCCGTGGGGAGGTCGGAGGGGTAGTCCGTTGACTTTGGGTAAAGTCCTACTTGTGCTTGTGCTTGGGGGTCACTTCACTTGGGATAGGTGCGGGTGCTATTGAGCACCCGCTAGTATAAAGTCACCCTCTGTCGGAGACATTTTGCGCGGGGATCGATGGCTAACGGGGCCCCCCGCCGGCGGCGGGCGTGGTTCCTTACGTCTAACCCACTGGGCTTGCCCGTGGGAAGGGACGGAGGTTGTAGCGTTAAATATCGTCCTTCCGGATGTCCCGGCGTGCCCGCAAGGGTTCGCTGGGTGCTACGCCCGCGGTCTTTCGTTGCGGTGAATCTTGACTAAGGGCAGACCTTTCGCGTTTAACTTGTCCCTTTTGCGTTTAACTCATCTTAGCTTCTTCGCGTTTAACTTCACCTTACCCCCTTGTGCGTTTTTCTTGTCCCTCGACCCGACTTCCTTCCCTTCCTGAGGTTTTTCCCCCCTAGTCCTGTGCGCGAAAGCCGCAGGACTCGGGGGTTTTCCTCAAAAAAAAAACAAAAAAAAACACGGTCCCCTATGGGGC